AAAAAACATAAAAGAAACCTGTCCATCAAGACTACTACTGGCAAACCGACTTCCATCAGCGCGATCATCGATAGCAAGCGATAGAACCGAACTTCGGTGACCACAATATATTCGCTCGACTTTGGGCCGCTCTCCTCCACTGCAAAATAGTGCATTCAAAAGCAGACGACCTGCATTTAGACTTTGTCGCCGACAAATATTTTTTGGTAACTCTTAGTAAAAGCTTACATACCGTCAGCACTGTGCCATGGCATTACAAGTGAGCGTGCTGGGGTAACTTCGCTTGTCAGAAAAGAGGTCATGAAGCCTCGCTTTGGTGATTTAGTTGAGCCATTTTACAACATGGGCTTCAAAACTGTAAGAAAAGTCCCACTCAATTAGACCTTCGAAACCTCCGAGATATTTGAAGTGGCACGGCAAGCCCCTAAAATTTTTGAAGCGAGGCGATCTATCCTCGACGGGCAGAAGAACGAATACTTTGGCTAGGCTAGGCGCTGTCTTCGCGGATCACTGATCTTTCGCAAATGCTGATGCATATCGTGTTAAGACCAGCAGCTCACAAAGGAATTCGTTCCTCTACAGTACAGATACCAAAAATACTCAGCACAGAGGTATTGTTTGCATTTCAGCGAAGTCTTCAGGTGCTGCCGCTCGCAGGCTGATTTTGAGCTGGACGCCTTTCGCTCCCATGCAAGTTTGACTGCTCGAATTTTTGAAAAACAAAGCCGGTCAAAGGGAGAGGAGGGCAGCGAACTAGTTTGCGAGCTGCTGTACCCACAAGTGCCCACACAAACTCAGTTCTCGCTGGACAAAAGGTAGGAAGGTCTATGAACTTCCCCGATATGGACTTACACGGAATGCAGCTTTATCGTTTTATCATCGGAACCTGTGAGAATCTCGTCATCATTGGGGAGAAATGCTAGTGCTCGGATCCGCTTTGAATGTGCTGAAATTAGATATACTCACGAGAAACCAGGAGAACTGACATATAGAAAACGGGTTTGAATATTTCGCAGCTCAGCAGTCAGTAATGTAAACCTCTAGGCAACAGAAGCTAACAATGATATACACCAACTCAACAATCAGGCATCGGCATGATTAAGACTACCTATGGAGAGCGATTCGGGTAATATAACTAACCTTCTATAGTAGTCTCAGATTTGAGCGTTGATGCATCAAAAATGTGTAAGATGCCTTCGAAAGTGGAAACAGCAAGCCTGCGACTGCTATTGCCCTGAATGATGCTCTTTTCTCTTTGGGTAGCGGTCACAAACAACAAAAAAGAGACTAACATAAGCAATCGCACCAACGGTTTTTGCTGAAGGGAAAGCTTCCTGTCTAGAAACTTTTCCATTAAGATCGATTTCTTTGAGAAAGCCAGAAAAGCCCACTGAATATGAATCCATACTTGGTGTTGAGGTAAGGGTGATCACACTCACCAGTAATATAGTTTGTTTTGCTCTTAGCGATTCGCACATGCCATGCTTCCATTACTCCAAAATCATGAGGCATAACAACAGGCCCTTCATCACCCAGTATGATCTCGTAGAACATTGAATCGACGGTTACCAAGCAAATACCTGTTTCTGGGAGACTTTGCAATCATTATTTCAAAAAAAATGCAAATAGCGGATATACATTTTCCGTCGTTAGTGACATCCGCAGACTGTATCGCAGTCCGCCATTCCTGTATTTCTACTTTACTGGTAAGCGAAACCGCCCCACTGGCTGCTTCATCCCTACAAGTTGACAGCGCGGTAAAACCGTGATAACAAGCAAAAAAGTGTGACTATAAAACCTTACATTCTCCAGAGTTTGACAGAGTCATGTCCAACAGAAACAAGACCAACAATTCCGTTTCCCGCTCTGAATGACCATATTCCAACCAATCCGCGCGTATGAGCTGAAAAAGGACACTCACATCACGCGTATACATGTGATTTTGAGTTTACTACAAATCCCATTACAACTTAAATACCAAAAAGAATGATAAAGCCAACAAAAAATTTTTGAAATGTAAAATTTTTTAAAATTAATCTTTGCCTGTTCGAATCTGCCTGGCTTGACAGCCGCACCTACAAGATTCACACCACAATTAGGCTTTTCGCCCGAAAGCCTTTGCTCACGGGCCTTTTCTCAGCTGCATAGTCGATTCCAGCTACTTCTTCTATGAATAAAACAAATTTCTCGTACAAGGGAAAGGCGACTTTATAAGCAGCGACAAACCATGCTATGGAAAATGGTCCTAG